GGGCTCCTACCACACTCCTCTTTTACCTTTTCTGTAGCATTTGGCATGTTTTGTTATTTTTTATTTCTACCTGGCTGCCCTGTCAGATTAGGAACTTTTTGAGGAAAGGGACTATGCCACTTTATTAGTAGTAGTAGTAGTAGTAATAGTAGTAGTTTTACAGCCTTATTGAGCTCAATAGTATGCAACCAAATGTTTTTATTTGTTGTTTTGAAGTTTTTATAATGATATGTATATCAGGCACAAAGAGTACACCAAATGTCTAAGTATAGTTTAAACAAAATACCAAAATGAACACCAGTATTCCCACCACTAAGTCTATGAAAGAGAATACTGGCAATACCTTTTAAGTGTAAGTTGTTAACTATATAGGTAAATAAATGTCACCTGTTTTCTTAATTTTGCTTAGTGTTCTAGCTCTTTAAGGTAATTTTGAATCTTGATTTGAATATGTCCCATAACAAGCTATTCTTCCAAGTGTTGGCATCTGAGAATATGATAAGCTTTTCTTCTATATCATCTTCTACTCCCTTATAAAGTATATGGACTAAAATAAGACCAAGGAGGAATCTAGTGACCCCCCATACATGGTTGTGATTACTGTTGCCTATGGTTATTCAGCCAGTCACCTGACAATTCTATCATATAAGCCTCATTTCAAGGAGAGCTAAGATTTATTTGGTATTTAACATATGATAAACCATTTATACGTGACAGCTTATTTAATCTTCACAAAAGTCCTCCAGCATTCATGTCGTTCCTCCCATTTTGGAGTTAAGGAAACTGAGGCTCAGAAAGGCTACCTTGCATAAGATCAGCTGGCTGAGAATTTGACAGTCGGGACTAGAATCACAATGGGTCTTTGTCCCAACTCATGCTTTCTCCTCTGTTGTTCACTGGTATATCAGCAAAGACTTAACAAAACTTTTTAGAAATGAAGATTCCCTAACCTACTTGTCATGAAGGCCAGGAAGTTATGTTCAGTTTGAGTAAGTCTGTGTTGGCTCTCATGGCCCTTGCTTTATGCTCTTCAAAGACAGATGAAAGACTCAAAAAAGTAATTGTAGCCTAAAAATAAGACCATAACTTGGCAGAGACAAATATAGAGCCTGATGCCTGACTGCTTTCAGCTTTTGTAACGCTGTGCCTGTTATTTAATTCTCTGCCTCAGTTTACATATCTGTACAATAGGAATAATTACAGAATTTTCCCTCAGCGTTATTGTGAAGATTAAGTGATTTAATACCTGTAATATGCTTAGAATCAGGCCTTTACTAAGTATACAGTAAGTCTTAGCTATTGTTGCTGCCAACAGCACCGTTATTACTGGGAAGTCAGTATCCTGTAAGGACACCTGTCATCAATGTTGTACAATGAGCTTCCCTTTGGTCATGGAGCAGCCTCTAGGCCAAGATAGCCATCAGCACAGAAGGAGCTTTCACAAAAAGATTTTTAAATATTTAGGTTTGTTGCAAAGGATTAAACACCACATAAGTGCACAAATGTACATTCTCTTTCTCTCTCTCTCAAAACAAACTATTCCTAGATTCCTCTAAGAACACAGGGTTGAGAGTGATTAGAAGTACTCTTTGTGTCCTTGCTTTACACATGATGTCTGAAGAGAAGCATGTGATATTCCAGATGAGTGGGCACAGAGATCAGCTCAAAGCTTTCTCCCTGGACAGAGCCAAGCAAATCCATCCTCTGACATTTCTGAGCAGCAAAACCACAATCTTCTAATGAAGTCTTGCTGCAGCTGATGTCCCAAATTGTGAGACAGGGGGTAGGAAGAAGGGAGATGATGTGTATCCTTCCTAAGCACTGTATGTATACAAGTAAAGAGCATTATCATAGAGTTTGAGATCAACATCTGCCTCAGTTCAGATCCCACTGTGGTCATTCATGTACTTACCATGGACAACTTACACAACCACTCGGGGACTAATCTGTCAAATTGGGCCAGGAGTTCTGGAAGCAAGAGGGTGCGGATACAGAAAGAGATGACTTGGCTTTGGCTGTACCTGTGCAAACCCTGGGCTCTACCTTTGCAAACCCTGGGTCCTAAGTGGGCATAAACGGAGTGAATGAATATGGACTGCCTCATTCACCCCAAAGAAGCTCTGGAACTTAGAATAATAAACTTCTAGAATTGGCATGTGATAAAATTTTCACAGGGCAAAGAAAGGCAGAGTGGTGAAAAAAGTACCAGTTAGTATGCACTCCCTGTGGCTGGAACATTCTCCATAGCTTACGCGTGCATTCTCTCTCATATACACACCACACTTACACTCACCTACCTGCATAATTTCCATGCATGTTTTACATATTAATTCATGTCATTTCCTCGGAGAAGCATTCCCTGTCACCTAGACTGAATTAGGCACCTCACTTGTATGCTCGCATAATACCTTTTGGCTTTCCCTTATTTACTTCTCACAGTTGGTAATTACATATCCGTGTAATGATTTGATTAATGTTTGTCTTCGGGTAGCCAATTGTCCCAGTTTGGCTGAGACTGAGGGGTTTTCCAGAAGGCAAGAGTTTCAGTGCTGAAACTGGGAGAGTCCTGGCCAAACCTGTGTAATTGGTCACCCTGGTCTGCTTCCCTCTCAAGACTGGTTGCTTTATGAGGACAGGGACTGTGCTCTTGTTTACCATTTGTCTCTGTGCTTGGCACAGACCTGGACTAGGAACTCAGGAAACATCCGTTGAACCAGTAAAGAAATGAATGTATATGTTAATGTAAGCTGAACTTACTTTTCTTATGAAAGCCTATCTTTTTTCTCCCTGAGATTATTCTTCCTATTTTAGATGTTAAAATGCCCATTGTGAAGATTCGTCCTAATTTGACAAAATTTAAATTTGACAGTGTTACACTGTTTTTGTTTTTTGCCTTCCTTCACCTCCTTCCCATTTTGGAGTTGGGAATCCTACTGATTTGAGGAGTCACTAGTTTAGTAAAAAGAGAACCAGGGTAGCTGAGATCAAGACAATTAAATAAGATCTGTCCCCATGCTAAAATGCTGGTCATAACTTCTGTATCCTCTGGGCCTAGCACGTTACCAAGCACATAGTAAGGGCTGAGTAAATATTTGTGAAATATATAAATGAATGGATTATCTGCCCAGCCTCAAAACCTGCTGGAATACACCTTGTATACCCAACTCTCTTTTCTTCCCTACCCTCTAGCAAAACATTTCTGCGACCATAAATGTGACATCAGCATTCCTTATTGCTGAATACATGAGAAGCACATACCATTGCAGATGAGTGAACACATGGTCTATCCCCACCTGTTCTAGTTCATCTCTTTATATAGTTTCCTTACAGTTGAAGGGCCTGCTATGGTCTGTTACAGAAAAGGAAAGAAAAGAAAACATTGCACTCTCTTGATTACTGAGAACACCTATCTTACCGACATGGCTTTGTTCAAGCTCTTCCCTCTACCTGAAATGTTTATTTCACTTCATCTACCAAAATCCCAATAGTCTTTTCAAACTTAGCTTATGTCCCTTTCTCTAACAAGCCACTGCTGTACCATTCCACTTGTCAAAAATAAAATGAGAACAAGTTAGGGAAAATTTGGAAGTTTACTAACAAAAAGTACAGCTTGCCCTCAGCAAGAATTCAAGTGGTAAGAAGCTCACCTTATGTCAGTTACAGAGCAGTTTATGAAGCATTAAGGAGAAAATATTTTGACCTTTTTAGTAATTGGCTGTTAAGTGTTAGCTTTTTTTTTTTTAGGGCAAATAGGACTGTTAAACTGATTTGCCTATAGCTGATTGATTTAATTTCCCTGAATCATGCTGACAAGGACCTAAAGCTTAAGTTTTAATTTCATCAAATCATGCTGACAGGGACATAAAACTTATGTTTTGTGCTTTGTTTATGATTAGAGCTAGCAACTCAGGGAAAGCAGAATGACTTAAGTTTCACCACTTGACTCTGGGCAGTTGGCCTTGGGGTATATAGTTAAACTATGGCCTCTGTCTTTGTATAATCTTCAGCACATTCCTCACCCTCTGTGCCCATCCACAATATTCTGTATTTTGTCTTTGCCATCTCATGGGCCATGCCATATTCTATTTGTCTATTTATTTGTATAGTTCCTCCACTAGATGGGAGTTTCTTGAAGGTAAGAACTCTTATTCATCTTTGTGTCCCAGCACCCATTGGGAAGAGGATTGCTATTAGGTAGCAGTCCATGTTTGTAAAAGGAAAAAAATATATCAGTTATTATTATCTTCCAAATGCTAAGTTGCAGACAAATACAAAACCTTAGTGACAAACAACAGTAGACATTTATTTTTGCTCACAAGTCTGTTGGTTGGCTAGGTGATTCTGATGATCTGGGCTAGTCAATGCTGGTCACCTAGGAAGATTTGCTGGTGTTGCCTGGATTCTTTCATATATCTGGGACAATACCTGAGACAGTGGAACAGACTCAGCTCTGTTGCACATCTCTTGTCACCCAGCATCCTTGTCAGGGCATGTTCTTGTGGCCAAGTTTGAGGAGTGAAAGACAGCATAGAAGCACACAGTCCTCTTGAGGCCAGAAAACTGGCCCAGTGTCACATCTACCTCATTCTCTTGGCAAAACAAGCCACAACACTGGCATAGATTCATGAGGTAGGGAGAGAGACCCACCTCCCAATGTGAGGAGCTGCAAAGTCTCATTGCAAATGGTATTGACCCAGGAAGAGTGGAGAATGGGGACCACTTTTGCAATCTCTGCCATAGCGAGGGAGGCAGCAAGGAAACATCTTATCAGTTTCTTTCCAAAATGATCATTTTTATTACCTTGACATTTAAATGAATTATCAGGAAAGTTTCTAAAAAAAGGAGCCATGCCTTTCTCTGGAGAGAGCGACTTCCCCACCATAAAAGTCATTCAGTAAGAAGCCTAATTCCATGGTCATAGAAATATTAGTTAGGAGGAGAACTCTCCCCCTGCCCCTGAAAGACAATATTTTCACATTATTTTCTGTGTTTCTTTCCAGATCAGCAAAGACCCGATTTTTGTACCAGGGGTCTGGGGGCCTTATTTCTCAGCCATGGTACCTGGGTTCTGGCTGAATGAAGGTGGTCAGAGCGTTACTGGAAAATTGGTAAGTTGACACTTTCTCAGTAGGGTCATGGATGTTTTTATGCCATTGATGAGTCCATGGCCCATATACCCAGGGTCTGGAGGATTTGCAGACCCCTGAGTCGGGGTTAACATCCTCTTAGTGCACAGCCTAACCTGTTATACAGGTGTAGCATGTGTGAGGCAGTGATAATCAGCCCTTCTTCTTACCTGATTTTTCCTCAGCCCAATCCATTTTTCTCAGGATGATGAGAGTGATATTCTACTTTGTGAAAATGGCATGTTAGTCCCCAGCCCAAATCCTTCAATTTTCCCCATAGCCCTCGAGACGTGGCTCAGATAATCGTCTGGCTACATTATACACTTCATGGTCTATCTCCTCCAGTCCCACACATGTGCCTGCTCTTTACACTAGATTGCCTTCCTCACAGCTTCTCCACGCCTCCTGCCATTTCACTTCTCTATCCCTTTATACATGCTTCTTTCCCTGCTTGGGGAGTTCTCTACCACCTCAATAATTTTACTTGTCCTTTAAGATCCAACTCCAGCTCCTAGCACACTCTGTTATTCTTATTGGTTACTAATCCTCTTTCCTAGAACACTCAGCTCCTTAAAGACAAGGGCTCTCCTGGGCACGGTGGCTCATGCCTTTAATCCCAGCACTTTGGAAGGCCAGGGTGGGTGGATCACCTGAGGCCTGGGTTCAAGGCCAGCCTGGCAAACATGGTGAAACCACATCTCTACTAAAAATACAAAAATTAGCCAGGCATGATGGTGGGCACCTGTAATCTCAGCTACTTGGGAGGCTGAGACAGGAGAATCACTTGAACCCAAGGGGCATAGGTTGCAGTGAACTGACTTCTTCCTGGTTTAGTCTTGGGAAGGTGTCTGTGTCCAGCAATTTATCCATTCATTCTAGATTTTCTAGTTGATTTGCATAGAGGTGTTTGTAGCATTCTCTGATGGCAGTTTGTATCTCTGTGGGTCAGTGGTGATATCCCTTTATCATTTTTGTGCCTATTTGATTCTTCTCTCGTTTCTTCTTTATTAATCTAGCTAGCTGTATATTTTGTTAATTTTGTTAAAGAAAAAAACCAGCTTCTGGATTCATTGATTTTTTTTTTTTTTTTGAAGGGTTTTTCATGTCTTTATTTCCTTCAGTTCTGCCCTGATCTTAGTTTGCCTTCTGCTAGCTTTTGGATTTGTTTGCTCTTACTTCTCTAGCTCTTTTAATTGTGATGTTAGGGTGTCGATTTGAGATCTTTCTAGCTTTCTGATGTGGGCATTTAGTGCTATAAATTTTCCTCTTAATACTGCTTTAGCTGTGTCCTAGAGATTCTGATATGTGGTCTCTTTGTTCTCACTGGTTTCAAAGAACTTCTTTATTTCTGCCTTAACTTTATTATCTACCCAGGAGTCATTCAGGTGCAGATTGTTCAATTTTTTATGTAGTTATGTGGTTTTGAGTTAGTTTCTTAATACTGAGTTCTAATTTGATTGTACTGTGTTCTGAGAGACTGTTTGTTATGATTTCACTTCTTTTGCATTTGTTGAGGAGTGTTTTACTTCCAATTATGTGGTTGGTTTTAGAATAAGTGCCATGTAGCACTGAGAACAACGTAGTCTGATGATTAGGGGTGGAGAGTTCTGTAGATGTTTGCTAGGTCCACTTAATTCAGAGCTTAGTTCAAGTCCTGAATATTTTTGTTAATTTTCTATATTGTTGATCTGTCTAATATTGACAGTGGGGTGTTAAAGTCTCCCACTATTATTGTTTGGGAGTCTAAGTCTCTTTGTAGTCTCTGAGAACTTGTTTTCTGAATCTGGGTGTTCCTGTATTGGGTGCATATATATTTAGGATAGTTAGCTCTTCTTGTGGAATTCATCCCTTTACCATTATGTCATGCCCTTCTTTGTCTTTTTTGATCTTTGTTGGTTTAAAGTCTGTTTTATCAGAGACCAAGTTTGAAACCCCTACTTTTTTTGGCTTTCCATTTGCTTGGTAAATTTTCCTCCATCCCTTTATTTTGCACCTATGTGTGTCTTTGCATGTGAGATGAGTCTCCTGAGTACAGCACATTGATGGGTCTTGACTCCTTATCCAATTTGTCAGTCTGTGTCTTTTAATTGGGTCATTTAGCCCACTTACATTTAAGGATGATATTGTTATATATGAATTTGATCCTGTCATCATGATGTTATCTGATTATTTGGCACACAAGTTAATGCAGTTTCTTCACAGTGTCATTGAATTGGTCTTCATGTTTTGGCATGTTTTTGCAGTAGCTGGTACCGGTTTTTCCTTTCCATATTTAGGGCTTCCTATAAGAGCTCTGGCAAGACAGGCCAGGTGGTGACAAAATCTCTTAGCATTTGCTTGTCTGGAATGAATTTTATTTCTCCTTCACTTATCAAGCTTAATTTGTCTGGATATGAAATTGGGGTTGAAAATTCTTTTCTTTACGAATGTTGAATGTTGGCTCTCACTCTCTTCTGGCTTGTAGGGATTCTGCAGAGAAATATGCTGTTAGTTTGATGGCCTTCCCTTTGTAGGTGATCTGGCCTTTCTCTCTGGCTGCCCTTGACATTTTTTTCTTCATTTCCACCTTGGAGAATCTGAGGATTATGTGTCTTGGGGTCAGTCTTCTCTTAGAGTATCTTAGTGGTGTTCTCTGTATTTTCTGAATTTGAATGTCAGCCTGTCTTACTAGGTTGGGGAAGTTCTCCTGGATAATATCCTGAAGTGTGTTTTCCAACTTGGTTCCATTCTCCCTATCTCTTTCAGGTATTCCAATCAATTATAAGTTTGGTCTTTTTATATTGTTTCATATTTCACGGAGGTTTTGTTCATTCCTTTTTATTCTTTTTTCTCTAATACTGTGTGCATGCCTCATTTCAGCAAGATGGTCTTCAAATTATGATATCCTTTCTTCTGCTTGGTGCATTTAGCTATCAATACTTGTGTATGCTTCACACAGTTCTCATGTTGTGTTTTTCAGCTCCACCAGGTCATTTGTGTTTCTCTCTAAACAGGTTATTCTAGTTAGCAGCTTCTGTAACCTATTACCAAGGTTCTTAGCTTCTTTGCATTGGGTTAGCACATGCTCCTTTAGCTCAGCGGAGTTTGTTACTACCCACCTTCTGAAGCCTACTTCTGTCAACTTGTCAGTCGCATCCCCTGTCTAGTTCTGCGCCCTTGCTGGAGAGGCGTTGTGATCATTTGGAGGAGAACAGGCACTCTGGCCTTTTGGGTTTTCAGTGTTTTTTTGTTGATTCTTTCTCATCTTCATGAGTTTGTCTCATTTCGATCTTTGAGGCTGCTAACCCTTGGATGGGGTTTTTGTGGGGACTCTTTTTTTGTTGATGCTGTTGTTCCTTTCTGTTTGTTTTTCTTTTAATGGTCAGGTCTCTGTTCTGTAGGGTTGCTGTGATTTGCTGAGGGTTCCCTTCAGGCCCTGTTGATGTGGTTCACTCCTATGCCTGGAAATGTCACTCGAGGAGTCTGGAGAATGGCAAAGATGGGTGCCTGCTCTTTCCTCTGGGATCTCTGACCTCAAGGGGCACTAACCTGATGCCAGTAGGAAAGCTTCTGTATAGGGTGTCTGACAACTCCTGTTGAAGTGTCTCACCCAGTGGTGCACAAGGGGAGCAGGACCCCCATTTAACAGGCACTTTGAGTGTCCTTTGGTGGAAGGGGTGTACAAGCAGGTAGAGCCTGCTTGTCTGAGCTGCCCAGATTCCTCAGAACTAGCAGGAGGAAAGACTAATTTTGTGGAGACTGCGGCCACCCCTCCCCCTAGGGGCTCAGGCCCAAGGAGATCAGAGTTCTGGCTGGAGTTGTTGGAGTTCCTGCGGGGAGGCCTCACCCAGTGAGGAGGGATGGGTCAGGATCAGGCCTGAAGAGGCACTCTGGCCGCAGTCTGCCACAGCTGGTGTGTTGGGCTGTGGAGAATACCTCTTGGGACCAAGCCATCCAGCCTCGCTGGCTCCAGAAGGGGAAAAGCATGTCCTGAAGCTATAGAGATGGCTGCTACCCTTCCCCCACTCTGGGAACTTAGTGTGTTATGCAGCTATCAGTCCCAGTGTTGGCTCCCGCCCCTGCCCCAAGGAGCTCAAATGGCTTAGATAGCAGGCAGCCTCAGCTGTGGTGCTGGCCGCCTCTCAGGAGCTCAGCAGGCTTAAGCAGATTCTAGCTGAGTGGTTGTTGGGAATCTATGTGGCTCTGTGGTTGAGAACCCTAGGCCCTGGTGGCATGGGCTCATGAGTGGGACCTTCCGATGCGTGTGTTTCACATTTCCCTAGAAAAAGCATGGTTTCTCAGGCTGGATAGCACATTCACTCACTGCTTCCCTTAGCTGGGGGCTGGGGACTCTCCTGACCCATGTGGCTCTCAGGTTGGCCACCACACCACACAGCTCTTCCTTCCTCTCATGGGTCACACAGCCGACTAGTCAGTTCTGATGACAGAACCTGGATACATCCGTTGCTGCTGCAGGATTCGCAAGCTGTTACAGTTCTTTTCAATGGGAGTCTCCGATTGCTGCTGCTTCTGGTGGGCCATTTTGGCCCCTCCCCCTCCCCCCAGCTCTTCCTGGACAACTTTTAAGTTAAATATTCTTTCTCTTTTTGTGGCACATTGAGGACCCATGACTGAAATATAGCCCTTTTAAACCTCCGATCATGGTATATAGGAGACTCAGAACTCATAGACGACACAAGCCAGAAGATTTTTCTAATAAGGGAAACAATCCAGTAAACCAATTATTTGTGCAGAATGCATTGTTCACGAACTTGTCCATCAGTAGGTTTTTAAGGGCTTGATATACACGTCGAACATCCCTATCAGTCAGAAATATTTTCCCCAGCATTGGCTCAAAGTTTCCTCCACTGCCATGTATATAACCCATATTATCCCAAATGTTATGACATATCTTTGTGGACAAAAATTGGTTATACCTATTTCATAAGCCTGAATTTAAATAAAAAATGGGACCTCTTCATTGCTATCACCAACAAATCATA